AGATAAATCTCACAAATTTAATTATGAGTTAAGGATTCCAGACACAAAATAGATGCTGCATGATTTCATTTATGCACATTTCAAAAACAAATTAAAAACTTGGTGTTTGATTATGAGTAAGTAAAATTTTGAAAATTATCTCCTCTTTTGAACAAATATTATTAAATCATCAAGAGAGAAAATCCCAATTCCCCAGACAGGCAAATTGATGGTATTTAAAGTAGAGATAGATGTCATTCTGGAGAAAGTAGTATCAGGAAAGGTGACAATGAGGCTTCTGAGATGCGAGGTAATGTTCTTTTACTCAGGTGGTGGTTAAGTGGATGTGTTAATTTTTAGTAATTCAGAGAGCTGTACCATTACAATATACATATTTTTAGGTACCAAGTTTTAAAATTAAAAAAAAAAGCCTCAAGCCAGATCATTTTATTCTCTGCCAAACACCTCCATTAATCCTTTCTAAACAGTGAAAGCTGAAGTCTTTACAATAGCCCATAGGTACCTTTACCTTGTTATATTTCTACCATCTTGTCCTGCTCCTTTCCCCACTGCCATTCTGGCTGGCACCTTTCCTCTTTCCCCAACATATTACCCTTTCTTCTGTCTCTGGTTCTTGTGATTGACTATCCTTTTTGCCAGAAATGCAATACCACCAGATAGCCATACAGTTTGTTCGCTCACTTCAAGACACTGTTTAAATGTTACCTTCTCAGGATGCCTGGGTGCTCAGTTGGTTAAACATCTGCCTTCAGCCTAGGTCATGATCTCAGGCTCCTGGGATTGAGTCCAGTGTCAGGTTCCTTGCTAAGCAAGGAGTCTGCTTCTCCCTCTATCCCTCCCTCCCTCACTCTCTCTCTCTCCCCCTTAAAAGATTTATTTATTTATTTATTTGAGAGAGAGATCTCAAATAAATAAATCTTTTAAAAGGTAAAAAATGATAAATGTTACCTTCTCTATGAGGATTTCCTTACCACCCTAAAATCATGAAATCTCCCCATTCTAGTATTCCCTCCCCACTCCCTACTTTATTTTTTATCCATAATATTCCCTAATAATACTTTATAATTATCTTATTTATGTTACTTATTTTCTGCTACTTCCAAAAGAAAATATGTACTGTAAAGACAGGAGTCCTAGGGTTGTTTCATACAATATCCCTGGGATCTTAAATATTGATCAGCATATGGCAAGTATTCAATAAATATTTGTGAAATAATGAATGCCAATTAAATTTCTTGAGCTGCCAATTATTTCCAGCCTAAGATATAATTGACATATAACATTATATAAGTTTAAGGTGTATAACATTATAACATGATGATTTGATACATGTGTATATTGTGAAATAATTACCACAATACAGTTAGTTAATACCTCTATCACCTCACTTCACATAACTACCTTTTTTTTTCTTTTGGTGGTGAGAACATTCAAAATCTACTTCCTTAGTGACTTTCAAGCATATAACACATAGTTGTTAACTATAATCACCACACTGTGCATTAGAACTTATATATCTATATTATATATAGATATATCTATATCTATATATAATAGCTGGAATTTTGTACCCTTTGACCAACATCACCGCATTTCCTTCATCCCCCGGTCCCTGACAATCACCATTCTACCCCTTGTTCCCAAAAGTTTAAGCTGCCGATTCTTTCTGCTATACATAAAATGTACCTCAGATATCTGTGACAAACTACCCCAAGTACAGATATTTGATGGTCAAAGAATGATTCCTTCTTCTTCAAAATAGATAAAGGGAACCCAATGATAGAGCTCCCAGTTGTAGCTATTATGATTTAATTATTCCCCAAAAGCCTTCAACAATACATGGCTACTAGAGAAGAAAGAAAAGATAGACTCAACTTCCATAGATTCACTATTCCCTATGGAATACTATGAATAGGTGTTTGATTATAATGAAAATTCAAAAATTATCTCTTTTGAAAAAATACTATCAAATTCTCAAGAGGATAAATCTCAAATCCCAAAAGGTCATGAGGCAAAAAAAAAAAAAAAAAAAAAAAAATAGACATATATAACACCTTCATTTGGGCTTTTATTTTGACCATAAAAATGTGCTTTGAAACTAGAGAAAAAATACCTTGTACAGTTCACTCTTTGAAATCCATGAGAGATTACAAACTGGATCATCCAATTTCTTGGAACTCTTTTACATGCCTGTTGCTCTGTGAAGTAATATTCTTGTCTGGTCTCTGACCCTCTTCTCAGCATTCATACAAGGAGTAAGTAGAAACTGTATAACATGTGAGCCACATGTGCTTGAATTTCTTGCAAAAATAATTCTATAGAAAGTGTTTTCTTATCTTTGAAAAAAATGAAAATATTTCACTAGAATGAAATGCTGACAAATAAATAAAGCCCTAAAATACTAATTTCCTTGTTTCCCTGGATTCTGGAGAATATTTTTCACTTAGTTTATATATCACTCTAAAAGATTAATAGAAAAATTGGCTAGGTATTTCTAGTGAAGTGGCTTAGGATTTCTAGTGAAGATGTATGTTAACTGACATTTTGCTGGAGAAGGATTCATTTTGAAGATTTTTATTGCTTGGTGGGTAAATATGGCAAATCTCTCTTTCCAAAAATATCTTCTCTCCCAAGCCCATATATTACTTTTCAGTTCCATTACACTAATGATCCCTGGTTTAATATGGATTCTTTTTGAAGTACAAAGTTTTCAGCATGTTGCATTTTACTGTTATTTTTGTTGTACATATAAGTTGTACCCTAAACTCTGGCATTGGACAATTAGTATCCCCAGGAAATATTCTAAAACAAGAAGAGTAAGTATCAATAATGATTTGAAACAAATCCTATGTCAATGACCTTTCTGTAAATAAAACAATTTAACTGAAAAGGCTGACATTGGGTCCTGAGTAAAGAGGACCACAAAAATGTCTAAAGAAAAAAGGACAATACAGTGGACTATTTAAAAGTACAACACAGGAAATATAATCAATAATATTTTAATAACATATTTGGTAACAAATGGTAACTACACTTAGCATGGTGAGCATTGCAATATGTATAAAAGTGTTAAATCACTATATTGTACACCTGAAGTTAATATAACATTGTATGTCAACTACACTTCAAAATACTTCTTTTAAAAAGGTATTAGGGGACATGATTTCTCAAAAGCCCTATGTGAATGAGCGAATTCTTTCTTTAAAAACATTAATGAATTGTTTTCAGAAAACCCAAAGACCCAAGGATTAGGCTGACCTGAGCTTCTACAACCATTGCACAACCTCAGGGCAATGAGAATCTATAACTAGTAGTCCTTCCAATCTAAACTCTGTCTCAAAGGTAAAATGAAAGGGTTAGCCGTCTATGTGGTCTGACTTTTATATAAATTGGCCCGGGCTTCTCTGACTCAAAGTCTTGGATTTCCACTTTGAAAAGACTTCTTTGATTTATTAAATGTTCCTGATAAAATGCAAAAATACTTCCAAGAGTGGAAAACAAAAATTCAGCAAAAATGAATTAAAAGTTTGTTAATCTATGATTATAAGCTCCATAGTGCAAGATCTGTCATATTCACAGGTGCTTCTCTAGCACTCAAAAGACCACTTAACACAATGAAGAAGCATAATAAATATTCTGAATGAAAATATTTCACTTCATATAAAAGGTCAGAGGTAACAGAACTGAGTTTCAATGTATTTTTTTTCTTTTTTTAGAGAGAAATCACAAGTAGGCACATGTAGGCAGAGAGGCAGGCAGGGAGAGAGGGAAAAGCAGGCTCCCCGCTGAGCAGAGAGCCCGATGCAGGGCTCGATCCCTGGACCCCAGGACCATGACCCAAACCAAAGGCAGAGGCCTAACCCACTGAGCCACCCAGGCACCCCCTGAGTTTCAATTTAATAACAACTACATGGAATGGAAGTAGCCAGAGAGAGAAGGAAGAAGCTCCTTGTTTCAGATTTGCCCAGATAAGAAAGGCCTAGATGGCACTTAATGAAAGGTAAAATGATACCAAAGGTCTATCTAAAAGAGGAAAAAAAATACGTGGAAAAGGGCTGTGGAGGAAAAAAACTGACTATGGAAATCCTCACAAAAACTTAAAACCTAAAAAAAAAAAAAAAAAAAAAAAAAAAAAAAACTTAAAACCTATTTTCCCATTTTTCTTGCAGCTACCTTGACCATGGGTTGTACTGTATAAGTATAGGCACAATGAACATGGTCACAGTGACTCAGACTAGCTGCTTTCCCTCAGGTCAATTGCCATAATGGGCATTTCTAGTTCACATATGCACATGGAAGTCTATTAAAGTAGCCAGAGCAATTTGGAGGCAAAGGTATAGAACTTTTTCTCATAGTGTACAGTACATTCAGTTGTCTAAAAAGGAAAGGAAGCATTTTTTATACAAAACAATATGAATCCATAAAGTGGCATTAAAAAAAAAGCATAAATCCCGGAATGATAGAGGTATTTTTTATTGTCACTTTAAAACACCATAAGTAACCTGGGGGAACTGAAAGTGAAAATGAGTGTTTGTTTATGTCCTATCATTGTACTACATTTAGATAGATTCTTAAAGTGTCTTGATTTAGTTTTTTTATTATTAAGTCATTTATTAATCTTAAAAAATCAAGTACTCATAGACTGTTGAAAGAACTTCAAATGAACAGAAATGTAGTATTGATAGTGCAGGTAAATAGGTAAAAGAGTAGAAAACAAGTAATCTATCAGAATCACAAAGTGTGAATTGCTAGCATCTAGTTTAGCATTCTTAGGAAGGGAAAAATTTGTCTCCAATTCATGTTTTCCTTCTTTTCTATTATTGTGACTTTTAAAAATAATATATGCTCAGGGGCTAAGTCATGAAAGCCACTGTTTTGTTGTTTAAACAAAAGTCTGTTTACTACTTTTTCAAATAAAAGATAGAGAAATTTGGTGTTTTCAAGAAGAACTAGCGTACCCCATTAGGTGCAATAACTAAGTCATCTCCCATGTCTTCCAGACCAATGAATGTGTCCAGCACAGAAACCACCAACTCTGTCAGCCACTTCATCCTCATGGGCTTTCCTTCAAGCCCAGAAATGCAGCTCCTCTACTTTGTGCTCTTCTCAGTAGTCTACACCCTGACTCTGATGGGGAATGCAACCATTGTCTGTGCTGTGCGGTGGGACCGGCGTCTTCACACCCCCATGTACATCTTCTTGGGGAATTTCTCGCTCCTGGAAATATGTTATGTCACCACGACCATCCCTAATATGTTGGCCAATTTCCTGTCCACAAGCAAGTCTATCTC